AATTTTCAGCTGGAGAGTAGCTCTGTAGTGAGAGTTACAGAGATTTATTACACAGCAAGCATTGAGGTTGAACATCCTTGGCCACAGACAAATCCGCTGTATAGCTTCGTTCCATTAACATATATAACAACTTGCTACACTGATAAACACAGCTCAGTAGATCGACTTTTGGTGTGCTCTCATAATCCACTTCAAAAGGAAAGGTTCCGAACAGTATGAACATAAAGCAGTGGCTTAAGTGGCCGCCTGAAATATTAGCAGAAATCCGGAAGTTTGTTTTGCACCAGATGCGTTTCAGTTCACCTGTGAATTGTTGAGTTTTAGCAAGCAGTAATGCAAAGGGTCGATTTCCGCACTTAGCATGCTGTTATCAGCGAACCGGGAATTAGGTGCTCCAAAAGCAGTAACTTCACTGTAACAGTATGAAAAACATAGTAAGTTGACGAATGCTGGATGATGCATGAAGTTCATCTTTTCTCTTCAACCTTAATAATAATAACCGACATGGATAGATGTAGCAAAAGCTTGGTGCAAGCAGACAGGATTTATGTTCATAATGAATGGAGGATATTTATTCCTTAGTCCAAATCAGCCTTAATCTTAAAAATAAATGTTTTTAAACATATGGGGCTGGCTTAATACTGTTTATTGCGATAGCTTCAGAAAATCAAGTGTATATTAGCGTGAAACGATTAAAATATGAATCAAAGATCCACCACTACCGAAGACACGAGGCCAAAAATTCTTGGCCAAGCGAGAACACCGGTGGCTTACCCGACCGTGCTTGTTGAGTGCTATATAGGTTATAGGCATTAACTTGCTGGAACTATCACGGTATATGTTCCTTTATTAGGCAAGTTATTTAACCTTGATAATAAGCAGGTACTTCAATGTTTAACTTATGATTCTAATTTCGTTCTTTAGCCCCAATCATCATCCGAAAATTTTTATGATGTGATTCCGTAGGTGAGTTTGATGGGGACTACAGGTTTTGTCCAAGTTAAAACGATATAATGCCGATTACCTTGAACAAACTTTAGATGCTAACCGGATGAGCTAGTGTACCTTCATGCAGACATTTTGTTACACCAACCTTCATAACCGTCACGTGGAATTCCTAGCAAATTAATGCCATATTCTTCCTGAGCAAACATTCATTCTAGTGACCTTAGCAATACAGACTGTTCTCCCACGCTTTTGCAGTTTTGACCCGGAACAAAAAAAACGAAATTGACTTCTACTGGCCAAAAATAATCAGAATATACGACTGAAAACTCCAACAGTTATCTGTATGACAGCACACTAGAAGCTCACGTTTAACCTGTAGGACAGTTTTCAAGTATAAACTAGTCCGTGCGATTTTACCTGGGATTAATTTGTAAACTAACTGAAAGTAACCAAGCACAGTAGTGGAGGGTCAAGTTTAGAGTACACGTTGTGTGATTGGATTGCAACACGCAACCTCAATTTAATGAACTGTGATTCACATTGAAATGAACCTTAGTCACTGCGATCGCTGGGACTGTATTCAAAGTAGATGGTGGGCAATACCCAATTTCCAAGCACAGTACTGATTAATCCTAACGTTAGACTAATTATATAAAAATGCTGCACTGGTTTCCGCAAATTACCGGGTCTCTTGGAGGACATCCTAAATCGGAAATAGCACACATTAAAAATAGTAAAGCAGAAGCTAATTTAAGAACGCAAATCCCATATCGCGCTTTGGGTTTTTAAGCATTCAATATTCACAATTTATCCGTCGGTATTTTAGAAGACTGAAAATTTGGTCAACGACCCGCACTGCGCTGCATTAATTGCACTGTTAAAGGTTGCTTCTCCATTTATCATTATGTTCTTAGGCCAACATGCATATAATCGCCTTCGATCAACCATTATTATCTTTTTATATAAATTAAAATGACTAAATACTTAGAATTGAGCAACTTGTGTTTGTTTGGTTGGTTGTCCGAAGCAATGTAAGGAAAGCTGCTAATTATCATAAGTAATAAAATAAGACTTAATATAAAGCAAACCAACCTAGCTTTTCCCGATGCATTTCGATGCATAATAGGTCAAGCCTTACGCTATTTCCTTGCCTCCATAACAATACCGCTTGAGAGCTCTTTTATTTTCTCTATACCACCAGTTCGAAGGAAGAATTCCGTTTGAAAATTAAAGGCTTGTTTTTACCGATTGATATTCGTAATTTGCATTAAATAAAGTTTCCTGGCAATCAGTTCAATGCTCCATTCCTTTCCCGGGTATCGCAAGCATCTGCTGCTATCATATTTGGTTACCAAGCCAATCATACCCTCGAATTTCTGGTTGGCCGCGAAGCAATGTGTATTAAGGCCTTTCCTACAGGTCCTACGCAACACGTGTATTCAAGCTCTCTTACGAATAAGATTCCGTTGCCAAAGGAGGGTCAAAACTAGGCTGCTGCACATACTTCTGTGGCAAGGACTCCAAGGAATGTCTAGAAGCTCTAAACGCTCGTCTGAAACCCTTTTAATTAATTTGGTGGCTACGTTATTTGATGTCAGTTCCAGGTAGCTTAAAGCATGTGGCAGGCAAAAGATGACTGAATTACTTTAGGCTGGCATACGAAAGATGTGAAGAAGCCTCCTTTGCATGCATTGTAGCTGGTAACTAGCAAAATAGAATATAGGGGACATATTACATTGTAGAGGCCCCAATGTTAATTACAGTTGGCCTCAAAATTTCAATGTTGCACGCTATTCATTTCCTTAGTCCCATAAGCACCTTAAAACACCCTTTATTTGAATCTGCGAAACCACGGAACATATTCAAACCTCAAGCAGCGGTGATGGGGATATCTGTGTTGGGAAGCACATGACAGGAGGCTTATCACCATGACTATGTCTGGTGTGGATAACTAAGGGGCCAGATTGGTTAGGTAGAGGAAGTAACCTACATAATTGCTAAGGAGCATCTCATCTTAGCGTGACCATCAGACCATGCAAGCAGAAGTGCGCGTGTGATACAAGTTGCAAAATAAGACATTCCAGAAAATGAGAAAGCTAGTCGCAAGCTGCATTATTAGCAAACATATTTAATTCATTTGACTGCATAAGTCGGAGGTTGTTATTATTCCGAATACATGTTCTTAGAAACTTGGCCAATGTTTCATATTTAAGGAGGGCCGCAAAAGATTTAGATATGGTGCTCACCACCAAATCATGCATAGATTCTAAATAATCGAAAAGATAGTACCTGGTGAGGGCTGTGCAGAGACTTAAAGTACCAAATGCTTATACAAATTTCAAAAACTATACCGTAGTTTTGAAAATGGACAGCACTCTTTGGCAAAACTTATGAGCCGGTGCAAAATCGTCCGTACATTATTGGAAATGGATGCGGTCAATTGAAGGTCATGTAAGCTCATGTGTTTTCGTAGTTCGTTTTGTCCGCTCATTCGTGGACAGGTGATATTCTATTCTGCGAGGTTGACAAAAATGTCATGTGCATTATTTATTGTAAGACCTCTGAATGGTGCATAAACCCAAGGTATCTTCTGAGATCTAATCCAAATATACTTGGCACATTTTGCAAAGCAGTACCTTAGGGAAGGTGTTTGCAATACTGAATGCGCGAGTGCAGTAAGGTGCGTAACGGTAGCTCACAGTGTACACACTGAAAGCATTTCCAAGGAAAACTGTGTCTGTGACTTAACTCTTATTCATTTATAACAGCATAGTAAAAAGATAAGAAGTAGCTAACCAACAAATGGCCAGATTACTGTGATAGGCAAACTTCTTACTGTTACTTAAAAGTTTTTGAAGCATCCTCTTTTTAACTATACTTGTCTTGCAAAGACCAAATGATATAGGTGTGCGTGAGGTGGTACAAAATATCTTACTTTTTTACTTTGGCATGTTAAGATAATGATCGTTCTCCAACAACTGCGTGTAACATCGTTGTACACGCAGTGGCTACACACTGATCATTTCTGGTTAAGTTATAAACCGTTATAGCAAGGGAGGATCATGTTACTTATTTCAACAAGATAGTAACGAGTGCATGGAGGAACAGGCCCTTGCTCGAAGGGTAGTCCTTCATACATAACAGAAAACAGAGTTATACGAGTATTTCACCGTATTGAACATACATGTACTCATCGCAGGTAGAAAGTGGGGAAGCATGCAACATCTAACGGAATCATTGTGTCTTTCTGGAACGTGAAGACAGGATATGGCAGTAATATTATCAGGCTGTGAACTTCTGTCCAGACATTAAATACTTTATGTGTGAATGCGCCAACAAACCCTTCCTTTTACATGCACGCCGGTCAAGTGGATTAGGAAAAACTGCAAGAGACGAAACCAGTGTCTTAGACTAGTCGTTCTTGCCACAACATCAAGCGCATAACACCATTTCCTATACCATACACGCAGAGTAGGCCACTACTTTTGCTTAGCCGTAAATCGCACATGACCAGACGCCTTCTATATAAACTATTAATCTTACATTAGCACACCCATCCTAGTACAGGTCACATTACCTCAATCACTTGCTTGATTACCACGAATTTGGCTGAACTGCTGTTCAGTTGTTTAACAGTGTGTCAACGAAATGAAGTATCTTACGTTTAGAAGCTCTGTATCTACAGTCAGCTCCATAAGAAGGGAGCAGTGCACTACCGGCCAACTCCCGCCCGGTTATACACTACCCGGCGCATTCCAAGGTCATAACGGTTGTAGTACCAGAATCATTTCTGTACCATTTGTAGAAAAGCAACATATTTGCGGCCGCTTAACAAGGGAGCCGCAAGAAACAGCCTTGCATCATAAAACCTGCTACCTGCTTACAGTAGTTGAATTGAATATAATAGATGGCGGTTAGATAACTAATGCCGTTTAGCTGACTTCCCAGCTTGTCTCATTCCTACTTACAATCCTCAGATTTGCGAATCAGTGATCCAGCAAGAGGTTGGATAAGTAACGTTTTACCACAAAAGATTCCTACTGTGATCTTACATCGTTTGATCTCCGACCAAATGTAAACCAATATGGAGTAATGCAGGGATCGGAACTAGCTTGAATGAAATATATCGTTTGCGAGCATTGAACTATTTTCTGCACTTCCTCTATGATCGTAAAAGTGGACGATTAGGAAAATGAATATCCTCAGCCATGCAGAATAATCTGAACAATGTGCGTTAGCGTACACTGTTACATCTGATCCATTATATTCTACCATGGATCAAACTAAGCATGCTTCGTCTACATACTTTAGAGTATAACAAAGAAAGCCCACATTTTTATTATATATTGCAAGAAGAAACGCAAGCGGTACGCTTAAAGCGAACAATTGTTCTCGATTTATTCATCATCAGGCTTTGTACAGAAATATACGTTTAGAAGCGGAGTTCATAGGGGAAAACAAGGAGTAACTATTGATTGAACAAAACATTTTAAGTGCTTAGCGTAACGTGTCAGGTGGTCAGGTGACTGAAGGCATGTGATACCAATGAGTGAAGTCCGATTCATCTCCATTACTGGCCGGCCAGGGTAGTTGTAAGGCTTGTACATGTTGCTTCTGAATGCATAGGTTTGGTTTTGTCAACCTGATGCATACTGCTTCAGCTGTAGCGAGTAGCCGAGCTCCTGACCGATGGTGTAGTTGTGATGGAACTCGATAGAGGATCTCAAAAGACTTGCGCTTATCAATCAGATGGTTGGTGCAGATCAGATGGTTGGTTATGGCACTCAACTGAGTTTTCTCTCGTTGGGTGGCGAGTGACGTTGGTAAATGTTCCTTGATTCGCTTTTCCAAATATCTGGTCGTGCGCCCAATGTACCTAGCTCCACAGGAGCAGGTAAACCGGTAGACTACCATTGATTGGCGTTGATCAGACATCTTGTCTTTGAACCTAGGAACAAAGAGCGAACTGTTTGTAAAAGCGATCCTCAGTTGAGTTGCAATAAAGGTCTTCCGGCAAGTCTTTATCAGTCGTCGTGTGCATATTTCCGCCGGTATGTCAACTTTAAAGGGGAGTTGGAGCAATAGCTGTTTCTTTTCCGCTGTTTGTACTGTTGGTTTTGGCCTACTCGACTTCATATGAAGGTCAATGAATGGTTTTGGATAACCGTTTTCCTCGAAGTGTTTGGTTGAGTTGTTTCATTTCTTCTTCAATTGTGTCCTCACTGCAGATTTTCCGTGCACGATTGGCTAGTGTATGTACCAGTGTTCTTTTTCGGCTTATTGGTACAAAACTTCGGAAGTGTGTGTACTGGCCTGTCCAATACGGCTTTCAATAGACTCCTATCTGAATTGATCCATCGTCTCGTCGCTTTAAGTTTGCATCTAAAAAGTGCATTTGGTTATCCATTTCTTCTTCTATTGTGAATGTGGCGTTGGAATGTGCCTTGTTAAAACACTCGACGACATATTGCAAGTTGTTCGTCTGTTCAATTATGCAGAATATGTCGCCAACGTAACGTCGGTAGAAGCGTAAGCCCGAGATAACCGATTTTAGTGGGCCATCCTCTAACATTCCCATATAAACATCAGCCAATAGTGGTCCAAGAGGTGATCCCATCGCTACCCCATCTACCTGTCTGTACAATTCATTGTTGAATTGGAATTGGATGTTATAAGTGCATCTGAGTAATAGCTGCTTCAGATGGACAGTTGGTATTTCGATCTTTATCTTGTGCTTCTCAATGTAAGTACAAAGAAAGTTAACAGTTTCTATAAGTGGGACATTCGTGAACAGGGATCCGACGTCCAAAGAAAACATTCGGTAGCCTAAGATGTTCATATTTTTAACGTTTTCCACAAATTGAAATGTGTCAGTTGGTGAGGGGCTATTCTTTTCCTAATAGGATCCAAAATAGACGTTAACCACTTTGCGGTGGTGTGATATGGTGAGTTCCTCATATCTAATATCGGTCGCAATGGTGCACCTGGCTTGTGTATTTTTGGGAGACCGTAAAGCCTAGGAATTATGGAGCCGGTGGGTCTTATCTTTTCATATCTTTCTTTAGTTATGTGACCATCAGTGACCAGTGATTTCAAACACTTTGTCAGTTGTGTTTCGGTGTAACCTGTTTTGTCCTTCTCTCGTTCACATCGTGCGAATTTGGAGGAGTCCGAGAGAATAAGCTTCATCTTTCGTACGTATTCTGTGCGGTCCATGATTACGGCTCCTGATCATCGGTCAGGAGCTCGGCTACTCGCTACAGCTGAAGCAGTATGCATCAGGTTGACAAAACCAAACCTATGCATTCAGTAGCAACATGTACAAGCCTTACAACTACCCTGGCCGGCCAGTAATGGAGATGAATCGGACTTCACTCATTGGTATCACATGCCTTCAGTCACCTGACCACCTGACACGTTACACTAAGCACTTAAAATGTTTTGTTCAATCAATAGTTACTCCTTGTTTTCCCCTATGAACTCCGCTTCTAAACGTATATTTCTGTACAAAGCCTGATGATGAATAAATCGAGAACAATTGTTCGCTTTAAGCGTACCGCTTGCGTTTCTTCTTGCAATATATAATAAAAATGGGCATACTACACGATATTAAAAGCCCACATTCTCAGCGAGCTTCAGTTTAATGCTAGCTCCGAGTGTTGGTACCAGTTGTCCTTTCACGTCGAGTCGTAATATCAAGAAGAAATCCAGTCAATATCTTGGCCCATTGCGAGGGTCATTAAGATAGCTAAACCCTTCCATATAATTTCAAAATCTGTAGAATACAACAATAAAACGACATTCATGTCTGGCCCTCATAGCAAAAGCATATTCTTATCGCTTTTGCGGTACGTTGTTTGACGGAGACCAAAATTATTAGATTGTTCCATCTATTTTGAAAATGAGACGAAATGTTGTTATTTAAGGCATAGTACTTACCAGCATAACAATTACTTTAGGAAGTATCCGATCCTGAAAAATGCAAACCACTGTATCTAGTTACTAAAAATAAACTACAAACAATAATGCAAAATTATCAACCAACGCCAATCACAAAGTAAATCTGTTTGGAATGCGGATAAAATTTCTTCTGCCTTCGGATGTGTCAAATGTAGAACGATCAACACAGATAGGTAGTGGAATTAAGTGTAATTATGCGAACAAATATTAATTTCTATAAAATCTGTTGCTAACTTTGTCGAGCGAACGGCTTGATTCTTCTGCTGAGATACATGGGAAATGGAGCATTAGACAAAAACTTAGAAGGATAACCGCTACTCAGTTAATTGTTGTGCTTGTTCACTCACGGAGTATGCTCTGCAATTAGTTCTCTTGGAAAACATAATTCAAGTTGGTCAATTCCAATAAAATTATTGATCACTGGGTACAATTTCTGGCCTCTACCCCAACGTGAAAAGCGTCCTTCAGTAACTGATTTGATAAGTATTTTCTGTTTTATGTGTACATAAATTTGGTGGCATCCGGTTTCTGATTTGCCTGTCACTCTGGTCTCCACATGCACAGCCACATGAAACCTGCGCCTACAGTGCGACCATGGGTGGCTTGCCCTGCACAACCCAAAGCTCCAAACACACACCTCATATCCAGTGTAAAACCGAAGGAATAAGACCGGGTGGCATGTCGATGGGTGCCACGTTTCATCAAAGGAGAAGGTCCACATTTCTTCAAAGCAAACACAAGTACGCTGTATTTGGGAAACAAATGCACACATGGAGGTGGCTGGACCGTAGTCCACCCTGGGTTTAAGTGATTCGGTTGTCACTGGGACCAAGAACTGGTCGGAGAATAATATTCCGGAGCGGTTTGGATGCAATGAAATTAAGGCTGATACCTCGATGATATTTGCACAGAGTGCGCTGACTCTAATGGAAGATAGGTACGACAGTTGACAGACGCGCATCTAAAGATACCCATACACTATTCAAATTCGAGTTGAACATGGTAGCGAGTCAAGTCAACAAAGGTTCCCCACCATCTTGCAGCAAATATGGAAGAAGGCCGCCGCGTCCAGGAGCCTTGATCTGTTTTGACACGAAAGCGCATGTCGTAGCTCTTCGGAAGTAGGTGTAACATCAAATTCCCACAACGACTCGGGCGACCCGGCAAACTGTAATGTCGAAGCAAGTCTGTTGAACAGCTCTTCTGATTGTTCCCTCTAACATTGTAGGCGACGATGTTGAAAATGAATCCATTATTCGTATTTCTCAGCTTTTGTCTGACTAAATGATGGCTTTCTCGGAGCCGTGTTCCGGATCAGCTGGAATAGCAATCGGATGTTCCCAATAGTACTGGCTTTCTCCAACGCATGGCCCTTGCCACCTACCAACATTCCTCCTCGATTCTAAGACTCTTTGTCTGACTTCGTTTCAAGGAGTTATGAATGCACTGATGCTGTGTGCACAATAGAACTTATATCTGCGCTTCTAAGAAGCAGCGCGATGACAAATCAGTTTGCTTTTTTGACGTCACAAGTTGGATACCCCGCTCCCGTCAAAGCCGTTCTTCATAACCCACTTGAGACGATCCCAGTTAGTCTTCCTTTCACCAACTACAAGCATCATAGGCGACTGGTGGGTGAGTTCGGCTTGACATTGTTTAACTCTAGCTTGCGATTTCAAGTTACAGATAAGGCCATAAAATAGGTGCTTGTTTAAACGGGAAGAGTGAGTGCCACGCGTGCGCGCCCTGGAGCCTGGTTGGATTCAAGGAACTCGCTTCTAATTGACATTACTCTACTGATGTGCGCCTGCTGTAGTTGGTGGCAACATGGTCAGTTTGAATTCGGGTCATTGGGGAAATCGACGGGTGCCAGATGAGGAGTTACGAACGTTTGTGCTGCAAACCAGTGCGGCTGATGTGAAGGTTATGATCGGCGCGCAGCTGCAGGAATCAATCGCCATTTGCTGTTCGGGGTGCATCGACTCGGAAGCGACCTCGCAGGTGCTGTTCAGAGTCTGAAATACGACCCACTTGGGCTTTCACGTCACCAACAACAATGACGAAGTCAGTATCCTTCGTCATACTAGAAAGTGATCAGGGCTGTCGATATAAAGGACGATGAAAATGCACTCTGTCTTCAGACAGTGGGTATTAACTCAGAGTTTCGAGGTTAAACGGCACGCACACTGCTGTTCACTAGCATGCAGTCGAGTAGACTCCTTTCAGCATGTTTACTGATTGCTACACCAACACCGTAAATACCTTTGGCCATTGACTCAGTATCGCCAGAGACAGGAAGAATATAGTCGTTATCCTCAGATTCAAAACCAGGGAGTAGAAGATGCGTCAAAACGCCGTTGTCTTGTATCCTTGTTTCGGAGACACAGGACACATGAAAAGTAAGAGAGTGAAATATGAGAGTTAGTGTTGCCTGTAGGCAGGTCTTACATAGATTGCAAAAGCTAACAGAACCAACGTGAAGTGAAACTCTAGGTTGGATGAAGGGCAAAATATAAAGACGGCAGCAGCTGTGAACTCAGCGGCTGTCAGTAGCTAGATAGAAAGGGAATATTGGGTTGAGAGGAGAGAAAAAGATAATAAGAAGAAGAGGGCGTGTCGCTTATCTAGTCGAGAGAGCAGACGATACCCTCCGGCTGCCCATTTGGAGAGAGGGGTTTCTTGAGGTGCTGACACTGATGTTGCATTCATGATGCTTTATAACCGCAGTTGGGCTAAGCCCACTTACACATAAACTAGGCGTTTTTAAGCTGCATAAATTGCATTCCACTTTAAATAGTTTGTTCTGCCTACCAGAATAATGTTCTATTAATTGCCAACATGCTTTCGCTAATTGTGGATCTACACTTTAACCTTATTGCGTTTGTAGCACTTTTGAGTAACTGCTGGACATTTTGTGCTAATCGCGGATTCGTTGCTAACCAACTTACTTCATATG